ATGTACGACTTAGCACACTTTTGCCTAGCGAAGCCCTGGAAGAACCTAGTGTTCCGCTCGCCCTCGACCACCCAACGAACGACCGCCTTCTGCTTCCTGAAATCCTCCTCCATAAGGAGTCGAAGCTGGTACTCGGCATGACAGCGACGCATCACATTCCTATTCTCCGGAGTAGGATCCAGATCATTAGGCCCACTTAGCCTCTGCGTGCGCACTCTAAGCCGCAGAAAGGCAATGATGGAGGTCTCCAAAAAAATCCCAGTTCCACTGTCTCAACCTACGCCACAGTCTGCCGAGCTTCACCTCGAGATTGCGCATCCCGAAGAGCCTAGTCGGCTCAAGCCAGGAGTCCTTGACAGTGTCGTGGAAGGAGTGGTGGTGGACCCACATGTTCTGGAACCTAAAGGAAGAGTGGCGGGGGGTGCTCGAAAATCGACACCTAATGAGGAGGGGTGAATGGTCAGACCCAAATCGAATGAGGTGTGTGACGGTCGTGACCGCAAACACCTTCGACCATGCCTCAGAAACCAAGGCACGGTCGAGCCTCTCTTTGAGGTCATCCCTAACCCACGTGAAGGGCTCACCCTCACATCCAGCATCAATCAACTCACAGTCCGCCACAACCTGAGCAAAATCCCACATCTTCCGAGAACGGTCCGAATGGCCACCCACACGCTCATCGAGGTGCAAAAAGATGTTGAAATCGCCACTAACCATCCATGGCAATCCCTCCGTACTTTCCGCAATCTCACGCAGGGTGTCCCGGAGGTCATATCGCCCGACCCTATTACACTTGGCATAAACCAATGTATGGAATATAGGCTCGGGGAGGTGTGCAGTAGAAAGCTCGACATGAAGCACCTGATCGGTATCCTGGAGGACCCTACAGGTATAATCATGCGAGTGGAAAAACATGATCTTATGCGAAATGTTACCCACGCTCGAGTGGAATCCAAGACGGCATGCATAGTAGTCAAAATCAGGGGTGCGAATCATTGGCTCAATAAAGCCAACAAAGTCGAGTCTGTGATCACGAATGAGAGAATAAAGATGAGCGAGAGTGGCCCTATTAGCCAGGCCCTGGCCATTCCAAGTTGTGGATGTGATAGATATATCAACGGTCACAAGAGCCATCGGACGTGGTCTGCCTGTGGCGAGGCTGGGTCGAGCCACCTGAAGGAGGGGGGAGGTGGCGAAAGGATCTAAGTGCAGGGGAGACTGTCCGTCGTGTCCTTTAGCTTCTTTATTAGCTGAGTACTTAAGAAAAGGAGGCAAGGTCTTGGAAAAGTAAGAAAGAAGAAACTGTATCCAAGTCCTGTCGACTGATGGGGACCCACCAACTCATCAAGTTTTCTCAAACTAAAAAAGATGCACACGATTGGTCAAGGTATGCATGGGCTCCACGAAAGCGGCTCAGTCTAAAGTTCGCTGGATGTTCTTTTTCTCTTTCTTTTTTTATATCATTCCTTAAGTCACATAGGTTGATCCTCACATCTTGTGGGTCTGGTCGTCGAGGTGAGACGCCCTCAGTAGGTGCTCGTAGCCTGCGAGTCATCTGGCTGAGCAACCGGACCCAGGCGGCACTAGGGACCTGCCCCATCTCTGGGGCTGTCTTCTTTCTGTCATAATGGACGAAAGCGCTAGAGGCGAAGCTCTCGCACGAGACGTCATGCTGGGCGCAGTTAAGACCGCATGTCTGTTCAGGGAGAGGAGGAAGAGAAACTCCAGCCGACGGACCACTCGGGTGCTCGCCGACAGAGTGTGGCTGGTGACTAACTATATTCTCTGCCGAGCTCCCAATCTTGGCAGTGGGGGGTGTGCCAGCTCGTCCCCTTTAGAGAGAGCGGTATCGGGAGCAGTCCTTATATCCAGAGAGCAGTCCTGGCTAGAGGAATGAATAGACAAAAGAACAACAACGTGAGTGCTGCCATCAGATAAGTGGATGGTCGTGCCACTGGTCGAGGTGTCTGGCTGCTCCAAATCATCGACAAGAAGGTCATCATCGTCTGAAAGAGCAGAATCCAAAAACCTAGGGGGGACACTAGTGGAAGGCTCAACCTCATCCTCTGCCTCGGGGGACAGGACTGCAAAGAACGAGCGTTTGGCCTTAATGGACGACTGTAAAGTATCCCTGGGAAGAAAGCCCGTGACCTTGGCCTTGTTCCCAACTGTAGCCAACTACTTAGTCTGCTAAGGATCAGCATCCTTCCCAGTTTGGACAGTGGTGTCCATCACAGCCTTGCCCTTATTCTTGATCCCCTTTGGGGATGCGGGCGCATGGAGAGGGATTTTGTCCTTTCCCTTCGGGTCCCTCCGACTGTTGGAGGGCCCCGACTGAGTCCCACGATGGAGCTCAGGCAGAGTGGGTCGTGGCTTATTGCCACTAATGTAGCAATCAACCGCTATATGCCCCACATGACTGCACGAGGTACAGAAGGCAGAGATCTTCTCGTAGATCACCCGCTCAACAAAGGTCTTGGAGCCCTGCTCAAACTCAATCTCATGGACGGGCTCGACCTAGAGGTCGATCTCTACACAAAATTGCGCCACGTTAGCCCTCGACTGAAGGGCTGTTGGGGCATCAATACGAATTGGCTGGCCAATACACTTAGCCAGCGTAGTGATGAAATCGCGATAAGGTGGGGTGGGAGGCCGGGAAGTCGGCACCACATGAGGACAACGGGTGCCTCCGTCTTCGGGTTGAACCCGTAAGTATACTTGAACACCCTAGCTGGGCATCCACACAACTGGATCGAGGTCTTAATCCATACCTCATTATAATCCTCGGGAAGATGAAAAGAGAATAGAAGATGATTAAAGTTATACCTCATATATGAAACTCTACCCTTAAAGCCCAATGAACCTAATCCAGCAGAAAGATCTCGGGGGGGAGGGATATCATAGGTAAACTTAAAAACTAGGGTGTTAGCTAACTTACCTGCAAGGTTGTCAGCTTCGGCTTGAGTGAATCGGGCCTTCACTTTGTTTCCTTCCGAGCGAATAATGGTCCCGCAAGCATGCTCATATCTCCCGTCAAAAGTGAAGTCCTTGGCCATCGGA